GGTTGGGTACGTCACAGGCCAATTCGACACAATCAGCACCACCAATCACACCATCATCAGCACCATCACCAGCGCCATCATCATCATCATCATCATCATCATCATCATCATCATCATCATCATCATCGTCATCATCAGCATCGTTATCGTCATAATCCCAATCACCTTCACCATCAGCACCAACACCATCATCACCAGCATCAGCACAATGATCACAATCGTCATGCTCATCGGCATCATCATACACACAATCATCATCAGCCCCTTGTATCACCACCGTCCTGGTTATAATCCGAATAATCCTCGTCACTGCTCCTCCGAACCCTTGGCACCCGAGCTGTCACACGTGACCCGACGGCCTCCCGCGCCCCCTCGAAAAGTCGCCACCCAGAATGCTGGGCTGGCACGGTTGCGGGACTTGCCGTACGCAGCTGGATACTTCGCAAACAGGTGTTGCAATTTCCGTTTTCGTTCACATGCGGGGGGGCGGGCAGGGGGACGACAAAAAAACTTGCGCGACTCCAATCAACGGCCTTGTTATTCCAAGCATTTCAAAACAGCTCTGAACAATACGATGCGGCTGGCATTGCTTAGCATTGTTTGACGTCGCTTGGCATCGTTTGACACTGTTTGGCGTTGCTCGGCGTTGGCTTTGCCGTGCTATGTGTTGTTTGGCATTGTTTGGCACTGCTTGGCATTGCACGGCGCTGCTTGGCGTTGCTTGGCAATCCTTGGCGTCGCCCGGCTTGGGCGTCGCAGCGCCTCGGCGCTCCTTGGCGTCGCTTGACACTGCTCGGCATCGTTGCTCGGCCCTACGCGCTGCTTGGCATTGGTGGGATTTCGCTGGCACCGCATGCCGAAGAGCCCCGAACTACGCCCGGGGGGGGCGCCTCAGACGCAGGGTCCCGCGCCCACGGGCTCCTGCAACGAAACCTCGCACGCGGCAGCGCGGCATGGAGGCAGTCCGCACGCGCGCGCTCGGGCAGGTCGGGCGGCGGCATTGCGAAGTGCCCGGACGCGAGGAGGGGAACGAGGGGGAACGGGGAAAGGCCCCCGGGAGGGCCCCGAGATCAAGAGGGCCCACGGGGCCCCCAGGAGAGCCCGCAGGAGAGCCCGAGAGACCTCCACAATGACCCCAAGAGGGCTTCGGCTGAACCCCGCGAAGGCCCCAAGATGCCGCCAGGAAGTCCCAGAGAGTCAAGACTTGGCACCGACGGTTCCATTCAAGAGACGTCGTGCGCAGACTGCAAATAGGACGCACCGAGAAATACTAGTACAACATGTCCTCTTCGGAGGCGCGCGTCCGACCCGACAATATGGTATACCCATCTTGCAGCGCATTGTTTCCCGAGCGGTGCAGCCAGAAAGCGCCCGCCAGGGCGCATATGCTGTAACGTTTTTCGGCGCGCGCGTCGCCCATGGGGGGGCGACGCACATCTGGTATTCGTATGTCGGGGTGGCGCCTGGGGAAGAATGAGGGGGGCGTAAGACCCGGGCACAGGGGACTCGGAAATCCCCGACGAAGTCGTCAAACAAATCACGAGGGCGAGCATGCATTTTGACGAGGCCTCCCGCTGCAGACATCCCACGAAACTCCTACTCGTCAAAATCCGAGTCGCGGTCGTCAAAAAACGATGGCGAACCCGAGTCCTGGCAAACCCGGGTCTCACGCTCCCCCGAAAGAAGATGGGCGGCCGCGGGAGGCGGAGAAGGAACGAAGGCGTTCGCGCAGCGGGGGCCGCAGCGGGGCGCCCCGGGGGCGACCAAGCCGGTGCTGCACCCCTGGCAGAGGGCACGGGGCGGCGTCGCGACCACACGTTCTTCCTGCCATCGCTCGGACGTCCATTCACTGTGCTGTTTTTCGTTTCGTGCGCGGTTTGTTCGCCAAATGATCAAGGATGCTCCTCGATGGTCCTCGCCATGCACACGTCCGAGCGATGCCGAGCCTTCAACAAACAAGTAAGAGTCCCTTCGCTGGAATTACTGAAGTTTCTGCCTCCCGCTGGCGCCTTCGGGATTGACCCATTCGCCACGAGTAAGAATGAGTTGGTGCAGTCTCCTGGGAGGCCGCATCGGAGGAACGAGCAGCCAAGCGACTGAAAAAAAAACAGAGTCCGAGTTTGGGCGGCGACCTTGCGAGGAGAGCCCCGCCAAGGGGGGGAAAAAACAACAGACAAGGAACACGCTTGGATGGCCATGTTGTCACTCCCACGCTCCTCCTGTCTCCCTGTCCCCCCCCCCCAGATCCACCCCGTCGAGCCAAACCCTTCCTCGGTCCACGGCCTCCCGTGAAGCCAGGCAGCCTCCTGCCACCCAGGGGGAGAGGGGGGGGGGCCGAGGCTCGAGGGCGGAGGAGGGGAGGGGAGGGGAACTCGGAACTCGGAGCCCTGCGGTCCGCGAAAAGGTGCCAGAGGGCATCGTTGCCGGGGGTGTGCACTAGGAAAGAAAGAGAGGGAGGGGAGGAGGGGGATGGGAGGGGGGGGGAGGGGGAGGGGAGGTCCGCTGCCCATAGAGGGGAACGAGTCGGAGAGAGAAGGAAAACGGGATAGGGGCCTCCATCCGAGAAGGACTTCTGGTCCCCCGCACGAGGGGTGCCATCTCGTGCGGGGCCCACCGACAGGAGACCCCTCCAAAAAAATACAAACTAGCCGAACTCGTCGTCGGCCACAGACAGACGAGGGGGAGGAAGGGGATGGGGTGGAGGAGGGGGCGGGGGTGGAGGACGGCGGGCTATGAACTCTGGACATTGGTTTTTCGCTCCGCGGGGCCCGGGGGCCAGCGGCAGGCGATGCCGGCTCGAGGGCTGGCCACTCGCCCTCCTGGGGGGAGGGGGGGGGCAGTCCTCGCGGGCTGGTGGACCTGTCGCGTCGGGCAGCCCCTTCGATCATGGATTGGTGGGGGCGAAGAGAGAATGACTACCTACCAGACCACCCCAACCCAAACCGAAGACTCGAATTCCGGGTTGGGGGGTCCATATATATATATATATATATAATATATATTATATATATATATATATATATATCCGCCGGCCCCCTTGTGGGGGCCACCAGGCTGTAGGCGCGAGGTTCGCAGTTTCCTGTACCAGTTGTAGCTTGTAGTTTCCAGTGTTACAGTTCTGCTTCTTGCTGGTTACTGTAACTAGTTGACTTATTGCTGGTTACTGTAACTAGTTGATTAACCGCGCGAGGGGGGGGGGAGGCCCAAACCGGCTTTTTAGCACCCCCTGGGCGCGTTGTCTGAATTGCTGGGGGGGCTCGAAATCGACACCCCTCACGCGGATCCGCGGGGTCAGGGTCCAAAAACACAAGGGATTTGCCACATTTCTGAAATTCGGTGCCACCCCTCACGCAGATCCGCGAACTCAGGGTCCAAAAACACAGGGGATTTGCCACATTTCTGAAATTCGGTACCACCCCTCACGCAGATCCGCGAGGTCAGGGTCCAAAAACACAGGGGATTTGCCACATTTCTGAAATTCGGTGCCACCCCTCACGCAGATCCGCGGGGTCAGGGTCCAAAAACAAAGGGATTTGCCACATTTCTGAAATTCGGACACGAGCATTTGCCAAATTCGAAATACGGTGCCACCCCTCACGCAGATCCGCGGGGTCAGGGTCCAAAAACACAGGGGATTTGCCACATTTCTGAAATTCGGTGCCACCCCTCACGCAGATCCGCGGGGTCAGGGTCCAAAAACACAGGGGATTTGCCACATTTCTGAAATTCGGTGCCACCCCTCACGCAGATCCGCGGGGTCAGGGTCCAAAAACACAGGGGATTTGCCACATTTCTGAAATTCGGTGCCACCCCTCACGCAGATCCGCGGGGTCAGGGTCCAAAAACACAGGGGATTTGCCACATTTCTGAAATTCGGTGCCACCCTTCACGCACATCCATCGCAAGGCGTGGTAACCCAAACTGCGAGAACTCCCTCGGCCCTTTAATCGCAAGGTGTGGTAACCAAGCCCGTAAACCATACACGTCTTACCAATCGCCAGGTGTGGTAACCCCTCTTGTGATCAGTTGGTTTTGCTGATTGCGACTCGGCTTCGCATGAAGTTTCGATACTGTTTCACGACAGCGCCAAGGCCTCATGACTGAGCTCTTCCATGGCCCATTCTCCGAGAGAGGGGGCCGGCGGCAGGGGGCGAAGCCCTTACGGATATTTATATTATATAAATATATATATATATATATATATATTATATATATATAAATATATATATATATATATATATATTATATAATATATATAGAATATTATATATATATAATATATAATATATATAGGTATAATATATATAAGTATACATAAAATTAAATATACATATACATAAACTTATAGATATATATATATATATATATATATATATAGATATGATTTTTCGATGTTATCCGACCCCCCCCCACCGGAAATGGAGTGCAAACTGAAGCCTTCGGGTTGCGATGGGGTGGTGTGGCGGGCCTGGCGGGAGCGAATGGAAAATCCTGGAGTCTCTGCTGTGGGGCATCAGGGCACGTCTAAGGCGCAGGAGCCTCCCCCGCGGAAAGCCCGCAGGAAGGCTGGGAGCGAGCACCTCGGAAGCAGACGCCCCCTCCCCAAACGACCCCCCCTTGCGGTCGCTCGGACGTCCACTCCCCGTGCATCCTCCGAGGCGGCCCAAAATGCTCCTCGAGTGTCCCAGCGAGAAAATGGGCACATGCCCGAGCGGTGTCAAGCCCGGCGACTGCGTGTGAAGTCACTGGAACATCGGGGGCGCGCAAGCATGAGTTGGCGATCCATGGATTTGGCGCCCGGTTGCCAAATCCATGGATCGGGGAAGGCGCCCTCCCAAAAATGCGGCTGGTGCCGCCTCGGCGGCGGAAATCCGCGGTGTCCGATGGAAGCGGGACCCGTCGCTAATCCACGCCCGCTTGATCCATGTTTGCGATCGCCTGAGACTGCGTTGAAGTCACTGGAGAAGCCCCGCCTCCCCCGAAGCGCTGGGGCCGGGGACGAGATCATGTTGTCGCTGACCACCGAGGTGAGGATCCGCGCCCCCCCGCCGCTCGGGGGGCACCGCCGCTCGGGGGCACCACCCGAAAGAGGGAGGAAACAAGGATAGCAAGAGAGGAGACAAACAAGGAAACAAAGAAACAATAATAGCGAAGGGTAGATGGACAGGAACAAAGATCGAGGGTGGGACAGAAATAGAGAGGGAAAAGAGACAGAGAGATAATAGAGAGAAAGGGGGGAAAGAGAGAGAGAGAGAGACAGGAAGAGATTGTGTGCGTGAGCGATACCTAAACGTTCCCCGGGCGGGAGGGCCCATTTGCCGGCCAAAGCTCGCCGTCGCCGCCCAAGCCCCGCCTCGTCGCCGCCTCGTCGCCGCCCGTCGTTTGGGGGGGTTTGTCAATGTGACCACATGTCCATCCTAAATATGAGATCGCAATGTCCCAGGCCAACCGGTATCCCCCCCTGAGGTTCCCTTTTGTGAAAAAACACTATGCGGTGACATTTTTTGTTCGAGCATGGCACTTGTTCACGAATCCCTTGCAAAAAAATTAACGAAGTGCACACGCGCGCGTCGTCGCGCGCGCATGTTGAAATCCTTCAAAAACCTGCGGTGCCGGAAGGATTTCGCAATCGAGTTTCCAAAAAAAACATACAAAAACATATGGTTTCGCAACATCGATGTGCTAAGAAGGTTTCCGCGCGAGCTCTTGCGAAATCTTAAGAAAACCATGGGCTTCAAGATTTTCACAAAATGCTATTAAACGGGGTTCGCGCGCGCGCATGTCGAAATCTGTCGAACGCCTTTGCGCGCGTGCAGTCGCGAAAATCATGTAAAAATGGGACGAAGTGCAGACGCGCGCGTCGTCGCGCGCGTATGCCCAAATCCTTCGTCGTTGTCGTCGTTGTCGTCGTTGTCGCCATCGTCGTCCTCCCTCCTCCCTTGTCGTCGTCTTCGTTGGCGAAGTAGTCGTCGTCGTTGTCGGCGTCGTTGTCTTCGTCGTCGTCGTCGTCGGCGTCGTCGTCGTCGGCGTCGTCGTCGTCGTCGTTGTCATCGTCGTCGTCGTCGGCGTCGTAGTCGTCGTCGGTGTCGTCGTCGTCGTGGTCGCTGTCGTCGTCGAAGTCGTTGGAGACGTCGTCGGTGTCGTAGTCGTCGGTGTCGGCGGAACCGTCGGCGTCGTTGTCGCTGTCGTTGTCGTCGTCGACGTCGTGGCCAAGTGCCATCTGGTACCTACCGTCACGGTCTTGTCTCAAGAGGTCTTGCGACCAAGTTGCGGGTGGGAGGGTGGGATGTTTGCACGAGCAGTGGAGAGGACAGCTTCATAACGGTGAAAGTGAAATTTTCTTTTCCAGAAATAAAGTCGGATCCCCCCCCTCCCCCCAGAGTTATCGCCCCCCCTTTCGGGTATGGAAATCACATACGATTCTGACCACATGTCCATCCGAAATATGAAATCCAAATGTCCCAGGCCAACCGGCCAACCGGTACCCCCCCTGAGGTTCCCTTGTAAAAAACACTATGCGGTGACATTTGTTGTTCTAACATAACACGCGTTCACGAATCCCTTGCCAAAAATTGGACGAAGTGCGCACGCGCGCATCATCGCGCGCGCATGCCGAAATCCTTCAAAAACCTTCGGTTCGGGAAGGATTTCGCAATCGAACTCCAAAAAAAAACATGCAAACACAAAGGGTTTCGCAACACTGATTTGCTAAAAAGGCTTCCGCGCGAGCTCTGGAGAAATCTTAAGATGCTAATGAAAAAGGCTCCATCCGCCTCGGCCTTCTCTTCCTTCGCTCTCGCCCCCCCCGCCTCCACCCTCCTCCGCGCGCCCCGTCGTCAATTGGGGGGGGCCCGCGTTCGCTCGGGGAAGCGGCGGGGCCGCCGCAGGCACGAGCACAGCAGGTCAATCTCCGCCCAAGGCGGGAGGTCAGCGCGATTAAAATAAGACCGCAAGCATCTTCAGAATGATAAATATGCAAAGAGCCGGAAAAGCTCGATTGAAATATTTGTGGCGCGCTCTGGCCGATACGATGCCTGGATGGACCACATGGCCTCTACGGGCACCGTGCCCGATCGCGGATCCACCCCCGCCAAGCGCAAACTCTCCGCGCAGCGCTGCCACGCAAGCAGCCCATCGAGCCGCAGCTTCTTCAAAACTATACTGTAATGCGAACCACCCAGGCCCTACGCAGAGCCCCCACGGGTAGTGGCTGACCTTCTACATTTGGAGATCAACACAGATCGTCCCCGCGGCCCTTCAGCGAGCTTCGAGACGTTTTCGCGCTGGCCCCGCATGAATTTCGCGCGGGCCCAGGGCGCGGGCGGGAGGGCGGAGCCATCGTGATTTCAGCTTGGAACTGAATAGGGGAAAAACAAACCTACCTCGCTTTTGACCACCTTCGCTTCCAAGAGATACCAAACGATGCCAAATTGCAGCCTGTACTGGTCAGGCCGCTTGACGAGGAGGCGCGTGGTATGGCTTGGTTTTGCCTGGAAGCGAAAGTGGGGTAGGTAATTCACGCTCTGATTGAATGCGCACGGTCGCCCCCAGACGCTCTGGGGAGCCGAGGGCCCGACGCGCAGGATCCCGCGCCGGCGGCGCGCGAGCCGTCTCGGTTTCGAGCACCACTGGCGCATCCTGCGGACCTCACGCTTAAGCGCTTTGCGGCTGCGGTAATTGCATCAGCCGAGGCTCTGGTCCAATTCGGCGCCCGCGCGCCGAGCAAGCCGCGCAAGCACTGGCCGCGACGGCTGCGCGCCGAACACGCTCTGCCACAAAACTTTGGCCCTGCGCACGCCGAGCGATGCCAGGATCGCACGCAACTCGAGCGAGGCGCCCGGATCGCGCGCTAGCGTCGCCGCGAAGGCAATGGGGGACGCAATCACCGCCGCGCGGAGCAAGGCCCTCCCTGCATCTCCAAGCGCGGGGGTGGCGATTTCCCCCTGCGGTCGCGCGGGCAGGGCTGGGGCGTTGAGGCGCCCCAACATGTCCGCGTGGTCGTAGCAGAAATCGGAAGAATCATTGGTTTGCGGGCCCACGGGCATTGAGGACGTCGTGGAAAGGCTCGCCGGCAACCAAGATCTCGAAAGAGGTGCTGGAAACGGAGCAAGAGGCCGCCGGCCCGCGAGGCGCATGCCCGCGGACGCGCAAGCGGCTGAGCTGCGCGACGTCGCCCGCGAGCGATTTGTGCTTCTTGCAACGCTTGCGGTACGTGTCCGCGCTCACGAAAGCCGGGCACGCTTCCTCGAGCGAGAGGCCAGCCGACCGCCGTTCGTGGACGGTGCCGGAGAGAGGCGGGAACAAAACCTTGGCCCCAGGCAGGGCCAGATCGGTTCCACCCCTCCCTCCACCTCCTTCGTCCTCCTACCCCTCCTCCTCCTGCCCCTCCTCCTCCTCCTCCTCCTCCTCCTCCTCCTCCTCCTCCTCCTCCTCCTCCTCCTCCTCCTCCTCCTCCTCCTCCTCCTCGTCCCCCTCCTCCTCTCCTCCTCCTCCTCCTCCTCCTCCTCCTCCTCCTCCTCCTCCTCCTCCTCCTCCTCCTCCTCCCTCCTCCTCCTCCTCCTCCTCCCCTCCTCCTCCTCCTCCTCCTCCTCCTCCTCCTCCTCCTCCTCCTCCTCCTCCTCCTCCTCCTCCTCCTCCTCCTCCTCCTCCTCCTCCTCCTCCTCCTCCTGCTCCTCCGCCTCCTCCTCCTCCTCCTCCCTCCTCCTCCTCCCCTCCTCCTCCTCCTCCTCCTCCTCCTCCTCCTCCTCCTCCTCCTCCTCCTCCTCCTCCTCCTCCTCCTCCTCCTCCTCCTCCATTTTCATCGGCCTCCTTTCGTACGCGGTTTCTTTCGTCTTCCCCCTTTATCCTCTTCGTTTCATGGCCATTGGAGATCAAAAATCAATCCCTGCCCATGCCCCACTTAAACTTGGGCACTTGTTGTGACTTCATCGATATGGCATCCGTCCTTGTCCTCCTTCTACCTCCGCCTCCGCTTCTGGTTCCGCCTCCGCCTCTGTGCCCTCATTATCTTCCCCTGTCCGCCGCATTTCCCTCTGCTCTCCCTCAGATTGGGCACTCGTCCTGAATCCCGCCAGCTCTCTGGGCGTAGGTGGCCTAGGGCGTTTCCTCTTCCACGCATACCCCTCCCCTGGAACGTCCAAGATTGCCCACAATGGCCTCGAAAGGGTTTCATGGGGCCCAAGATGACCTCCAAGATGGCCCAAGATAGCCCAATATGACTGAAGGTGGCGCCCAATATGCCCCAAGAAGAGCCACAGCGCTCCAAGACGGCTCCAAGTGGCCGCGGAGCCTGCCCAAGAGGCCGCCTAGAAGCTGACATCGTTCATAAACTAAGAAAAATCAATGACATGTACCTCCTCGTTTCTTCGCTTTTCGTGGCCTTCCGAGGCCTCAAGACAGCTGAATGATGGCTCAAAAAAATCCGCCGCGCCTCGCGGCCCGAAGAGGTCGCGCTGGACCGCGTCCCCTCGGAGCCTGTCCACGAAATGCCGCCCTGAAGAGGACACGTGCCTGTGCTCCTGGTGGGCCAGGGCGCTCTTCTTTCCAGAACGGCGCACGGCCGCGTCGTCTTCGGACTGGAAGTGCTCCACGCACTGCTCGACGCATGGCGGCGCCCCCCAATCCGGCGGAATCTTCCGGCAGTACTTCCTGACAGCCTCGACGCCGTCGCGCCCGCGGACGCCTCGGGCAACGAGAAAGGTGCCCGCTAGCTGAACCGTCGTCCATTGCTGCTCTCTGCCATGATCGAACAGCGCCCGGACTGGGGCGAACTCGCTGACGTTCTCGAGGCAACCCAAAGCGGTCCCTCCGGCCGTCCAGGCCTGTAACGAACCTGAAGCGTCCTTCTGGCGCGCGGAGGGCCTAGAGCACTGGGCTCGGGTCGAGCACGTTCTGCGACAAGCAGACTTCAGAAGAAGCATGAAAGCAGATTCAAAGCCGCTCCCTCTCGTTCCCTGTGCCCGTCGCCGTGTTCTCCCCTTTTCCTGGGCCCTCCTCCTCAAGCGCGCCAGCCAAAACGAAATCGCGCAAAACGAATTGAGCAACGTCGTTGTTGAGTCGAAGGGAAACCCCTTCCCTTTGATCCCTTCCCCGCCAGGGGGGGG